AAAAAGGTATCATAAGAGGACTATGTCTTCTTTCCTTGAAAATCAGTTTTCCTGAAACTGCAAGTAGGCTAATGAGATCTGGAGCATGCATGTCAGGACAGAGGGCAGACCAGCATTATTCCAGGAAGCTCTGGAGGTTGGTCTTGGACAGGTGGATGGCAGAGTTGGATTCATGAGCCACAGACAAGTTTGAGAACCAGCCACTGATGAGTGGGCGGGATGCCACTCCTACCACCAAAGGTCACTGATCTTCCCGCATGGGACTTGGGGACGCTGGGGGAGATCTCTGTGCCTGGTTGCTGGAAGGCACCTGGCAGCTGCTGGGAGCTGGGTGATCTATTCCCTGCAGGCTCTTAGAAACAATTCTCAAGTCATCCCTGTCATCTGTACCCAGGAACTCTCGAGATGGTCCCCATCCCGCCACTTCTTAGGGACAGCTTGACTCCCTAGATCTCTAATATACGTCATCTCACTCTGTCCTGGGTCTAGACAATGAGGGAGGCATTCAAAGAGTGGGTGTGACTGCTATCTGAGCATGGCCTGCCCCAAATCTCAGAGCTACTTGGTAAATTAAAATCCAGTCTTGTTAACAGGCCTTGGTGTTTTGGGGTTAGAACAGGAAGTTGAATGCCATGGGCAAGACTTGTTTAAGATGAATCTGCAGACCGGTGGCTGGGAACCTCACTCTCCCACCAGGAGGCAACAAACTCCTCCCTGCCTTAGCAGTCCTCCCTGTTGAGGGAGACAGACGTCCATGCCCCTTGCAAGAAAGAGCGCTTTCAGAAAGAAAAGCTTCCAATTGGGTTGGTCACTGCTTGTGAAAGGCTAAATGCAGGACAATCGTGATTGGGTTGTTAGAAAGTTCCTTCTTTGTACTGAAGCAGTTAATCACGAGGGTGGTCGCAGTGGCAGGTACGACAGGTTGGGCAGGCATCCGGCCACTCTGGGATCTGGGAGGTCTTGGCGTTAAAACCATCTTGTAGCTGAAGATTTCATGACATGGGAAAATGGTTCCAAACTACTGAATGGGAAAAGAGGGCTGTAAAACACTGTGTAGAGTAGGATCCCAATTTGAAAATACACAGAAGACAAATCTGGAAGAATAATAAAAAGGTCTTGTGATGATAGGTCTTACTATTTTGTTCTGTTTATTTAAATTTTCTATTTTTCTACAATAAAAATGCATGACTTTTATTATAGGATGTTTAAGAAATTACTTTTCTCTTAAAGAGAGAAAAGGGGGAAATGGCCAATATCCGAGCACAGCTTTAAGAAGAAGACAAACTCCTTCCCTGTCCTGGAGGCCACCCAAATGCTGTAACTCTTCACTCAAGATGTTGAATTATGCAAACTGTGTTGCTACCCTTTTCCTTTTATAAGAAAGGGCAAATAGCCAGAAAAGCAGTGAATGTTGCTGCTTTAGCAAAAAGTGGAGAGCATTTTATTTGAAGCCAGCTTCTGGGGCTTGTCCTGGGCTAACTACGGTCAGCCTGGTTGGTCAGGCCCCCTCCCTTTGTCCAGGTTCTGGCACCACCCGTGCACCCCAGCAGGGCTCTGCCGTCCCGAGAACACCCCTGCCAGCTCACACGGGGAGGCAGCAGTGAGGTTTTATAGACAAAGATCATCCTTCCTAGGAGAATTTGTGCTAACCAAGACTCATGTCAAATGGCTTCTTAGTTGACTAGAAAGTTCAGTCCACACCCACTTTGTCTTCTGAGCTTTGCAGGTAGCCAGTGTGGGGCCAGACAATGAGGAAGAAAAAGCACAGGGAGGAAGAGGAGGCCTGAGGGAATATGGGGGGTTGGTCATCCACCCATCCGACGACACTGCTGAGTGGTCCTTTGTGTGCCAGGCTTTGTGCCAGGCACCATTAGTGCAAATGTAGGGACAGCACGGCAGCCCCGCCTAGGGAGTGAGGGCGTCCTCTGGCATTTAGGATGCAGTGTGGGTGGGGGTGGGGGATGGTCTGCAGAAGGCGCGACTCACCCCAGCTGAGAAAGCAAGCCGGCAATCCGGGAGGAGGAGACTTCTACAGCCTGGATGACAAAGAGCTGGTGAAGCCAAGGACAAGTGGGAAAGGAGCGAGAAGAGGATGTCAGGCAGAGGGGACAGCCTGAGCAAAGACCTAGGGGCGAGAGAGAGGGCGGGACATTCAGAACAGTGGTGAGGGGTGAGGCCAGCGGAAGCAGGGTGAGGGCTCTATCTAGAGGGCAATGGGGAGCCAAGGAGGGCATGTGAGCACAGGAGTCAGATTTCTGTCTTTAGAAGAGTCCTCAGGCTACAGTGATCTTTCTGCAATGAGAAAGAAAAAGAGGGTATGGGAGGCAAAGAATGGTGGCAGAGACCTGTCCTCTAGGGCTCTGGGAGCCTGTGGGTGGCTCTCAAGTCAGGCCCTGCAGTTCAGTAGGGAGGTGGGGAGACGGTGCCCCCCTGCAGGTATCCTGGTTGCAGTCCTCACTTGTGAGCCTGGGTCATTGCGTCTGCACGGTGAAGGTAAAAGTGCTTCTCTGCAAGGGCTGTTGAAGCTACTGGATGGGAAAATGGAGAGGCGAGCTGCCTGGAAACAGGTATACTCTGTGCCAGACTCGGTCCCTGGGGACCCAGCACACCACCAGTCACTGGTGGGCATTTCTCAACTGCTGTTTGATGACAAGAAGGGTGGCAGCTCTAGCCCCAGCTTACCACAGATTAGATATGTGATAAACCACAGGGCATTTCAGAAGGCCACAACATTCTCATGACCACAAAAAAAGAGTTTCAAGTTCCTGGGAGGTACAATTGGCTGGGATGGAAGCACACTGACCTGGCGCTCATGGACTCGTCACTGCGTGGTCCCCGCGGATAGCCTGCAGCGACAGCTCGTACCCAAGGAACATGGCCGCGCTCATGGGGAAGCCCCGCACCGCGTTCACAGTGATGCCTCTGAAAAACACCTTTGCACAGGGGCCCAGTTATTGCAAGGGACTGAGCCACACCTCTGCAGGGCCACTAAGGAGGGGCAGAGAATGGCTCGTGGTGCTGCCTGCCCAGGCCCCGTCCCCAGCCAGAGCCCAAAGGACCTGTGTAGGCAGAGACCACAAAGGGAAGTCCCAGTCATGCCCTGCCTTGACCCGTGTCATGCCTGATGGTGCTTTTCCTGCCAGACCCTGATACACATGCACTAAATACTATAGGTAAGCTGTTGGGCCAGGCAAACACCTACATGTGCTTTTTAAATTGCCCTCTCTCTCCCTCTCTCTCTCTTCTTCTCTCATATGCATACACACACTGTCTCTCTCTGTCTCTCTCTCTCTCTCTCTCCTCCAGAATCTAGAAGCCTTAAGTAGACAGAGCACCCAGCCATGCCCAATCACTGTAGCAGGGGCTTTACAGGACATCCCCAAAGTGGCAGAGAACGGAACTCGAACTGTGCTTAAGACTCTGCAGACATGGAGTTGAGGCACAGCTTTGCCATTGAGGTTGAGGCACAGTTTGTCACTTGGGCCAATGGCAAACTCTCTGGAACTCATTTTTCCTGACTGTAAGAGGGGAGTAATGATAGAATCAACCTGATAAGAAAGTTGGAGGGACTAAATGAGATGAGGCTTTTCAAGCACTTGCACGGTGCCTGGCATACAGTATAAGCATGTATTAACTGCTGATTATCATCATTACCCTCCTTGTTCTTATTAATAGTCTATCACCTAATAGGAAATAGGACTCAACCTCCAGCACTAGGATGCGTGCTCGGGAAGAATGGCCCGTGCTGCTGAGCTGCTGAACTCTGCCTTTGCTGCTCCATGACACCTGCATTTGTCTTCCATCCCCAGGGAGTATTATGTGATGCTTCCCAAACATGGCCTATGATCTTCCTTTCCTCCCTCAATCTTCTTGCTTGGTGTTGGGTGTCAGCTCATAAATGTGATGTGATTCCAACTCTCAAGCAGTGATAACCTATTAGCAGAGATAAGGCCCATTTAGGAACAATAACAACATGACCCAGAAAATGAGAACAGATAAGAGCTTTGGCGAGAGGGACCGTGGGGAGGAGCTGGCCTTTTATACATCCTCTGGTAAGTAACGACCATCTAAAAGCAAGTTCTCACACAAATATAAATGACTTGAGAACTGTCAGGCACAGATAGAAACCTACTCTGATTCATGTATAGTTTTCTAAGTTTAAGAAACAAAACTGGTCATTTTGTAAAAGTAGAAACCAACCCTTTGCATTTCCCCAGTTTCGTCAGTCTCTGGGCACTGTGGTATCAGAGTTGGTGCAGGCCTCTGTCACTGGCTAGGATATCAGGTGACCTTCCTTCAGGAGAGGAGCCTGCACCTCGCAGCAGCCTCCAGGGTGCAGCATGGCCCTAGGGACAGGGCTAATGGACAAGGATCCCTAGAGATGAACAAGTGGCTCAGCCAAGCCCTCGAGCTGTTCAAGCAGTGAGATCCTGGTAATATTAACACTCTTCTCTGATGTCTGACCTTTCTGGAATTCCACAGGCTCATCCAGAGTGACTGAATAACAGCCAGGAACTGGGTCAAACTCCGAGAGGAAAATTCCATGCCGGTGCCCACAGAGGTTGCCCTGTGGGTCTGGGCTTGGCTCTGCTCTGCAAGGCGGAGGCAGCCAGGGCCCGGCTTGGAGTGTGAGCCTTCTGTCCCACAGCACCAGGCTCTGCAGGAGCTGTGGGTCACTTCAGACAAGCAGACAGCCCTCCCTCCAGCAGCTGTGGCCTGCTCTGCTGCGAAGCCCACAGAAGGCAAACAAAGTGCAGACCTGCCAGCTTTTACCCAGAGCTGTCAGAGCACATGACCTCCAGACCGAGTCCCCCTCACTCCCACCCTACAAAGCTTCAGTGGCTCCCTATGGGCTAGGTCAGGTCCATACCCTTTCCTGGCTTGCAAGGACCCACATACTCTCCCTTGTACTTTCTCTGTGCGGCCTGTCACAGCTGACACCCTGGGCAGGTTAACGGCCTGTCATTCCTTTAAGGGGCCAGACTTTTTCCTCCACTGGGCCTCTTCTGGTACCCTCTGCCTGGAGTGCTTCCCAGGCCTGGCTTGCAGCCTGGCAGTGTCGCCATGGCCACCCCCAGGTAGATGATGGCCCCTCACCTTCTGTGCACTCAGTATCTCCCCATCGCAGCACTCCTCACACTGTTCTCCAAGTGTCCCTGACTTACCTGTCAGGAAGGACAGACAACAGGGGTGGGGGTGGGATTCGCAACCACAGTCAGGACAGTGAATGCAGGGCTGTGTGGGTGGTTTGCCTCTGAAACCCCAGCACCTGCGAGCGCGTAGACCTTCCATAAACACATTAAATGAATCAGTGAATGGATGGATGGATGAGTAAATGAATGAATGAATAAATGAACTTTTAGACGTGAAAAAGGAAGAGTCCTGGTGGCTGTAGTTCAGGGTTCCTGGAGCAAGAGGGAGGCTCCAGATTCCCCAGGGACAGCAACCCATGGTGCCTCCGGAAGCTGTCTACCTACAAATGCCCCCTCTGTCTGCCATTCAGCCTCATCTCACCGCCACAGCCCCTCCACAGTAGCTGCTTCCATGGAGCCAAGAATACCAAGGTTCTTCACCAGCCTCGTTATTTCAGATGGCAACTCTCCAAGTCAGAGCTATGGTCCATGTAGCCCAAGACGACCCTAACAGTGGGCAGAGAATCGCTCCAAAACTACCAGATGTTTCTTCTGTTTCTACTTGGAGATGCCTCGACAAGTCCATGGACTTTTGATTTTCCCCACCACGAAGGCTACGCCACTGATCATCCCTAAGTGGGTTACAAAGAGCTACTCAAATTGGTCACCATCATCATTATTAATGCCTTTCTAATTCTTTCCTGTCACAAACTTCTTCTTCCATAGGAAGGTGAGAACAGATTGGATGATGATGGACTTGGGGCCTTGCACTCTGCCTCTGCGAGCCACGGTCAAGAATGCTTGGGGAGGGGTGCTCCATATGGCCAGAGCCCAAGCCAGCCGGGAACTGGAGCCATCCCTGGGGCACCGGGGAATCCTCTCTACCTCCTCCTCCTGCCGCTGCCAGAAAACTGCCTTTGAGACAACCTGATTGTTCTAGATGGTGTCGTTATTTTTGTTTATGTTACTATTTATGTTCATAAGTAAACAGTCACATATACAAGCATACATAGATAGGTACATACACATATATTCTTATATACACTGTAAATGTTTTTGAAATGTATCACAAGAAACTTTATGGTAATTGCCTTTGAGTGAGGACAGGGACCACAGGCAGGGCATTGACACAGTATATCCTCAGGTAGTTTTGGAAGCTTCCTATGTTCATACATTACCAATTTTTGACCAATTGATACAAATTTTAAACAATTAACCTTGAACCATCTGATCACGCAGTGGTTACTCAAGCTGAGTATTGTTATCTTGACTTAAAACCTGTCTCTGAACCAATAGTGAGAACCAAATGCTATCAAAATTAAGAAACCAATCATCTGAACTTAGCTGACTTCCAGGACTTCATTTTTTAAAGAGCACAGTAATTTTTGCAGGAAATAATATCAGCAATATATTTTGCCTCTATAGACTTTTTATAAATTATGACACATTAGTATTTGGGGAAGTAGACAAAAACATCTCAGATAAAAATGAAACATCCATTTGAAACACTTTTATATCCTTCTGTACTCATTGGCTGAATCACAAACTCTACTTCTGCTAAAAAAAAAAAAAAAAAGAAGAAGAAGAAGAAAAAAAAAAGATACAAAAGATAATTGAGGCCGCACCAGGGCTGAGCTTCACCCTTCTGTCAGAGCAGCTCTTGTTAAAAATTTTAAAAAGGAATTTAAAATTATGAGAATAGTAAAGCTCTGAGTTTATCCATCCTTAAAACATAAAGATAGAACTCAAGTTCCCTCATTATCACATCTTCTTATACTAACCAGGGTCCAGCCTTTCCTCACACACTATGATATCCTGCTCTTCATTCCCAGGGCACCACTAAGGTCTTGCTTAATGGGCAGTGACCAAAAGTGGATGCAACGTTTCAGCTGTGATCTGGTCAGGGCAGAAGCCTCCACCTCCTTTATTCTACCCACTATACTTCTATTAATGCAACCTTGGGACAGGTCTCACTGTTGGCTCACTGCACATTAGCTGATCAGAGCATGGGCTTTTTCTCTTTAGTTTACTGCTCTGTCCGCAGCTCCTAGAACTGTGCCTACCACATACTAGTTGCTCTAAAAATAAGCATTTGAAAACTAAAGCACTTAGGCATTTTTCCTTAGGAGCGTTCATCAAATCAGATTGCCCCATCCTTTACACAGATGATTGATCCATGATTGAATACTAAGGGCTGGACTTTACAGTGACTTCTTGTAGGTCTGTCCTTTAGATGTGGCCCTTTGATCTAGCTTTTGGATCTTGTCCCTCTTATGTGGCATGTTAGTTATTTACCACAACACTGGGTCATCCCAACTCTGCGTCTTTCCCAAGTTGGGGGAGAGAGTAAAACAGGACCTTGGAAAACTTGCTGTAAGAGGCAGAGGAGGGGCAGGTATAGAAATAGCTGTCACCCGTGGTGGTGTGTGAGAAGCGCCTTGAGAGAGGTACAGGAGAAGCAAGCCAAGGACATGGATCCTGGGGAGGGTGGTGGACTGCACTGGGCCTGGAAGGATGGGGCAGACTCATCTGGCAGGGCCTGGGGTGGGGCAGCCATGTGAGAAAAGACTCAGAGCTCTGGGGTAACGCTGGTGCTAATAAACTCAATACTGATCATACTAAAGCAAATGAGAAAGGGTTAACTCTTCCCTATGGGTTACATATTGAATGGAGTGCTTTTTGTATTAACCCACAAATGCCCCACCCTTCATGGAAGGGATGATCATTCTAGGAGAAACTGAGGCCCTGAGACATGAAGCTGCTTGCTTGGATCCTGCCAGCTCACAGTAGCTACATCTGACTTTGAACCCACATCTGCTGACTCTAAGAGCCACATCAAGAAAGCAAGGAGCCCGTGCAAGAAAGAGCCAGCAGGATGGTTTCTCCGGAGGGTGATGAATCTGTTTATAACCTTGGACACTGGACGTGGAAGTCTGGTCTATCCTGGGGCAGCACCTTTTCAGGTGGTAGGAAGGGGTGTGTGTTAGGTTAAGCTCTTGAGCTGTAGGAAGAACTGAGGAGACACAGCCAAGGGAAATGGGTCGGAGGCTGCCTCCTCAGCTGAGACCAGAGGTCTGGGATCAGGGCTTAGGTGGGAGAGCAGAAGACAGTTCACAGGGCCTGGAGCTGGTGAGATGAGCTGACTAAGGACAGGAAGGAGGCAAGGCAGCTCTGGCAATTCCCACCAGGAGGAGAGGTGGGGAAGGCACTGAGCCATGAGTGAGGAAGGACTGCCCAACCTCTCTTGATGAGAAAGCAAACTGTGGTGACAGACAGATGTAGACCAGGCCCAGGCACCACCATGGATCAGCTGTGTGGCTGTAAGCAGATTATCAGCCCTCTCTGAACCTCTGTCATGTGGGTCACATACCTACCTCCTCCACTGGCCATGTGAAAAGACCACCTAGGTGAAGTGCTTGACAAAGCACCCACTTGTGGCACCTGACACATAATCACCGGCAGTCGCCTGATCTCCTGATTCCCTTCTCTGTAGTCCCACATCCCCCTAAATGTGTGAATCACCTTCCAGGAACTGACACTGAACCCGCAGGCCTGCTGTGGGCTTACTTTAAGACCTTCCTTCTGGTAACTCTGGGAGATACAATCCAGGACACCTTTATATTTGTTTAAATAAACCCCATCAGCTTGGAGTCGACTTTTCACAACATCCATAGGAGTCGCTGTCCCCCAAGAAATTGCTCCTGCAAAGAGAAAGAAACAGGTGTCAGGGGCTGGCTCCTTAGGATCTGGAGGGGCCTGGCTCCTTGCGGATTTCTACCATTTAGAGATTCATTAAACCGGGAGAAGGGACAGAGCTCAGGAGTAGAACCCGCAAAGTTTGTTTCTGATTCTCACTTGCCACTCGCTGTGAGACTCCCTTCTCTAAGCCTCGGGCTTCTCGTCTATAAAATGGGGTGGCAGTACCTATCTTTGTGGGGCTGTTTTGAGGGCCAAATGAATTGGTGAACGTGAAGCACTGAGCACAGTGCCAGTCCACAGCCAGTGCTCGAGACGTGGCAGTCTTTATTAGCAGTTTTTATTGGAGAAAGAGTAACAGGCTCCACAGGTACTTGGCAGCACCTTCCCGGGACACCAGAAGAAAGCCCAGGGTGAGGCATGAGGCTGAAGGTTTGCAGCTCGCTGAGGGCAAGATTTATTCTGAACCCAGAGAAGCTAAACAAACACATGCAGACAGGCTGCTCACCAAGGAAGGGCCAGCCTGGGGGTTGCAAAAACACAGCAGGGACAGCTTTTTGAAAAATCTCTTTTCAAGTATGTGGAATAGAAGCCTTGGGATCACGTGCCACCAGGTCATCCTCATGGGATATGCTCAGGTAAGGAATTCTAGGAAAACAATGCCAGGTTATTATATAAACACAGAAATTCGTATATTCCTAGATGAGGAGAGAAAAACAAATTGATGTTAAAGTCCAGGGCAACTGGTTTGCATGGTTTTGTAATTGCTGCCCAGTAGCTCCCAAAGGAGACCTTAGACTGCCCTTGGCCCTTGGCCTATCCTGGCCTCTGGTCCCCTCAGCCTCCTGCCCTTGGTCCTCCAAGAGCCTCTCTAAACCTATGCCTTCTGCCTGGACAATGGGACCACTTCCCCAGGTACTGCCCTGGTGCACTCCCTTGTCCCTCAGCCCACGGGAAAGGGCATCACAAAACGGGATTTGCCTGCCAGGCCATTCACACCTGCTCTCTGCAGAAGTGAGAGCAGATGGGGCCTTGCAGTCTTCTCTGCCAGTCGGTACTGACTGAGCTCTTACTAGTAGCTGGGCATGAGCACAGGCACCTGGAGGCCAGAAGGTGAAACTGTAGTTAGGTGGCTAAGACATCAGCTTCATTATGTGTTTGCTATGAGCTGACAGCATGGCAAATTGTGATGATGAGGAGGAGAAAGAGAAGGAGGAGGAGGAGAGGGGGAAAGAGAAGGAGGAGGAAGGGGTCGGGGAGGAGGAGGAGAGGGAGGAGGAGGAGAGGGAGGAGGAGGAGAGGGAGGAGGAGGAGAGGGAGGAGGAGGAGGATTCATGATTTTCTTCTTTCTGTTAGATCTTTCCCATCACATCAAACATGCCATGATGCCAGCCTTCTTAAAAAGCATCCTCTCTTGACTTCCATAACCCTTCTGGCTATGGCTCTGTTTCTCTGTTCCTCATTACAGCATAGCAGAACCCTCAGAAGAGTTGTGTATAGTTGGTTGCACCAATATCCTTCATCCCATTCTTTCTTGATCCCACTCCATCAGGTTTTTACACCCTTCTCTCCATCAAATGGCCCTTACCAAAATCCCCAGTGGCCTCCACATTGTTAAATTCAGGAGGTGTGAGAAGCAGGTACAAAGGCCTTGTGGTCGGGGAAGGGCCAGGCATGGTCAAGTTGCAGCAGAGACGAGTGTGACTGGAGAAAGTGAGGAAGGGGAGAGGAGGAGAAGTGAGGTGGGTGGGGAACAGGCAGCTAGATCACTGAGAGCCTGGAAAACCATTGCAAGGATGTCAACTTTTACCTTAAATGAAAGAGGGATGTGGTGTAGGATTCTGAGCAGGGAGGTTAAGCAGCCAGGCCATGGTCACAAAATGATGAAGTGTGGATTTGAACTTAAATCTTTCTGGCTGCAGAGTCCCTGCTATACTGTCAGCACCAGCTGTGTGACTTGGGATTGGCTACTTAACATTTCTGGACCTGAGTTTTCTCATCTGTGAAATGGGGAGACTGATTCCTGCCTTGTAGAACTAATGGCATCCTTACATCACAAAGGTTGCATTTAATAAACTGAACCATGATAATGGATTTCCTTTCCAAAGCTTAGTAATGCCTGACACAGAGTATGTGTTCAAAATATATCCATTGCCTGAAAATCAAATGGGCTCAAATGGGAACTGCCATTCTCATAGCTGCATAGGAAAAGGGATGAGGCTGAGGTGGGAGAGGACCAGGGACCCAGTAGGTACCTAACAAATAATTATTGGGTGAGTACCTAAATGTGTCCTGCCCTCCCCCTGGGCTGAGAAGGGCATGGCAGTTCCCCAGCTGTCCCACTGCCGTGGCCTGCACAGGGGTACGGCTCCAGCTGCTGCTGTTCTTACCTGCCATGCCGCCTGCCAGCCACACGGCACAGGGGCTGGGGCCTGTGCAGGCCTCAGGTGTGATCCATTCACTCAGGAACACGTAGGGGATGAAGTAGAGGCAATAGCCTGGAACATCCCTCAGCAGCATGGCACTGGCCCCCCGGTACAGCCCTGCCAGGCCCTCATTCCTCACAATGGTTGTAATGCAGTGCACGGGCCCCTGGTATGCTGGCTGCTCCACAGGAGCCACTGCCTTGGACTTCAAACCGAGGTTGGCTGCAAAGACAGGGGAGAGAAGGTGGCAAGTGACCCAGGGCGTTAAGAGACTGGACATTCCCTGACACTGGAGCCAGCCCTTTGACAGTTCCCTCTCATGTAGCCCATCAGCTTTTACCAAATCTGACCTTGGCAGCTCAAACCAGGATACTGAGGTCCCAACAAGAGCCCCTGCCAATATACACAGCCAGACTGGGGATAATCTCAGCCACATGATAGAACACCAGTTACTTTAGGTCAATACCACTACTTCTTTCGAAGCAGATGTGACTTCAGAATGTCTAGAATCAATTATGACAAGCCACACTAAGCTCTTTTTTGAAGCTAGAAAATCCAACATGCTGTGTGTGTGTGTGTGTGTGCGTGCATGCGTGTGTGTGTGTGTATGTATGTGTCTGTGTACACACTTATGCACAGTGTGGCAGGGCAAAATGTATATGAGATTTGGAGCCAGACTGCCCTGGCTGCAAATCCTAGCTCTACCGCTTATTGAAAATAATGTATAAATTATTCATAAAATTTAAAATCTATAATTTTATAAAAATATCTACAAATAACTCAAACAAATTGACAAGAAAATACAAACAATCTCATCAAAAAGTAGGCGAAGGATATGAACAGACACTTCTCAAAAGAAGACATTTATGCAGCCAACAGACACATGAAAAAATGCTCATCATCACTCGCCATCAGAGAAACGCAAATCAAAACCACAGTGAGACACCATCTCACACCAGTTAGAATGGCGATCATTAAAAAGTCAGGAAACAACAGGTGCTGGAGAGGATGTGGAGGAATAGGAACTTTTACACTGTTGGTGGGACTGTAAACTAGTTCAACCGCTGTGGAAGACAGTGTGGCGATTCCTCAAGGATCTAGAACTAGAAATACCATTTGGCCCAGCCATCCCATTACTGGGTATATACCCAAAGGATTATAAATCATGCTGCTATAAAGACACATGCACACGTGTGTTTACTGTGGCACTAGTCACAATAGCAAAGACTTGGAACAAATCCAAATGTCCATCAGTGATAGACTGACTGGATTAAGAAAATGTGGCACATATACACCATGGAATACTATGCAGCCATAAAAAAGGATGAGTTCATGTCCTTTGTAGGGACACAGATGAAGCTGGAAACCATCATTGTCAGCAAACTATCGCAAGGGCAAAAAACCAAACATTGCGTGTTCTCACTCAAAGGTGGGAATTGAACAATGAGAACACTTGGACACAGGAAGGGGAACATCACACACCAGGGCCTGTCATGGTGTGGGGAGAGGGTGGAGGGATAGCATTAGGAGATATACCTAATGTAAATGATGAGTTAATGAGTGCAGCACACCAATATGGCACATGTATACACATGTAACAAACCTGCACGTTGTGCACATGTACCCTAGAACTTAAAGTATCATAAAAAAAAAGAAAATAAAAGTTAAGCACAATAAAAAAGAAAATAATTTATAAATTATATATAAAATTTAAAATCTATAATTTAATATTTATAATTTTATAAAAATAAAATCAATAATTTTTTAAAAATTATTTGGAAAAATTCGAAATTTACCTTGGCAAGTCAGCATTTTCAGCCCATTTCCTTAACGTTAAAAGAGGGAGAGGTTGTCATGAGTGCACATAAAGTAATACATGTACAGTGTCCAGCATGGTGATTTGAACATTGTAGGGGCTTAATGAGCTATCAACTGAGACCAAAGTTGCCGACATGAATTGGTGGCAGGACCCACAGGTTGGAGAGCTGGGTATATTCTCAGTGACTCACTCCAGCCCTGGCCAGGCTGTGCCCTAAACAGTTGTAGGGCAGAACTGGGGCTCTTGGCCCCCAAAGTCCTGGGACCCAGGGCTGCTATCTTCTTGTCTCTCAGTAGTCTATGCTGGCAGCTCAGGGGTTGTCTCCAGGTTCTTCTAGGCGTGCACATAGCCAGCAGAGACTCTGCCTCTCTCTCATTTGCTACCCATCTCCTGCTCTGGTGCTTGTCTTCTCTGCTGTGGATCCTTCTCTGCTATGAGGCTTTGATTCATGACCAGACAGACCTTCCAGACCCAGTGCAGATAAAGTAGGCTCTTGTTCTTAACTTTCCCTTCTCCAGGAAATAACATAATGTGACATGACCAGGAAAGGAATAGAATAAAGTTTGTCTGTGACCACAAGCCTATTTTGCCACCTGAGTTTAATTCTCTGTACAGCGTTTCAGTTTGGTTTTACACATGCTGGTAAACAGGCAGACAGCTTTCATCATATAGGTCAATGTCCAAGTCCCCCAAACAGTCCATCTTTACCAGCAGAAATGTTAGGAGCATTCAGCTTCATGACTCCACAGTCTGGAGACTGGAGAATAAAGGGCAATCTGTACTTTAACTCATCCCAGAAGCAGGTGAAGTTGAGGGGGAGGCTTCTGTGTGCCTGGGAAGTGTGCTTGAACAAACCCATGCTGTATTTTCCATCTGCGAGTGGGGAAGGGAGTGAATCCCTGCCATAACCATTAGGCCAACTTCAGTGTGGGCAGGAGATGGAGCCAACTTCTTCCACAGTGGATCCCATAGGAGGTGAGCCGGGGTGGTAGCCACCGTTGGGGGCACAAGGCCCCTCTGAGCAAGATCAGACATGATGGCCTTTGAAAGCCCACTGAGAGATCACTAGGCATGCCTTCCTCTTCCAAATCCACGGTGCTACTGCCTGGTTCATCTGAGGAAATTTTGCCATTAGACAGAATAGATGTCATTGTCCCAACGTATAAACTTTGCCTGAACTGCTTTCGTCTCCAGGTAACACTGACTTGACCCAGAAGTCAAGGTTTTCATGAAGCAACTACGGGTAAATAGTGGCTTTCAGGAGTTACTGATTGAAGGAGAGGATCTTGATAACAATCTGCTCGTTTGAAAGTACAGATGTTGGGAAAACACTCATCAGACCTCCAACTGGCCTTGTCAACAAAATTCCTGTACTGTTTTCCTTTTCTCTGCAGAGTAAGCAATAAGGAAATTCTCTCTCATTCTCCCAGGTTTGCCACATAACCAATCTAGCTTTTACTGCTTCGGAATTACCCATTTATGGCTGTTAGTGCAGTATAATTATCACGGTGACTCCCATCACCAGGATACTGACACGACTCCAAACTGACCCAAGTTTATACTGTGAAGCTCTTGGAATTCTTTCTAGCGTCTTCATTCCCAATTTTTTTTGAAAAAACTTTTTATTTGGAAATAATTCCAAATTTGCAAAAGAAGAATAAAAAGCAAAACAGTATAAAGAATGCCCATACATACCATTTACCCAGATTTATCCATTGCCAACCTTTTTGCTCATTTGCTTATTTTTTGTGAGTTCTCTCTCCCACTCTCTTCACTTCCCTCCCTTCTCACTCGTGTGCATTCAATTCAACTGAATCAATGTAATTGTCCCAGTGTCTAAACTTTGCCTAAGCCCCATTCATTTCCAGGTAACAGTGACCTGACCAGGAGTCAAGGTTTTCATGAATCAGCTATGGGTACGATGTGGCTTTCAGGAGTCATTGATTGAAAGAGGGGATTCTGATAACAACATGTTTGTGTGGAGGTACAGATGTTGGAAAAACACCTATCAAACCTTGAACTGACTTTGGCAGCAAGACCCAAACCTATCCTTTTTCTTCTTTTCTTCCCAAGGTAAGCAATAGGGAGTGTGTGTGTGTGTGTGTGTGTGTGTGTGTGTGTGTACATATAGATGTATTTTTACACATTCATACATAACTATTTTCTAAACTATTTCTGGGTGAGTTACATACTTGATGGGTCTTTATCCCTAAATATGTTGAAACATATTTCCTAAGAATGGAGATACTGTCTTACATAACTATAGCACAATTATCAGTTTCACATAGCTACATTGACAGTACTTTAATCTACCATCTATAATCAAATTGTCATTTAATCTTCATGGTGCTCTTTATAGCATTTTCCCCTCCAGGACAGGATGCAGTGCTTCAATCTGGAACATTTCCATAGCCTTTCTTTGTTTCTTGTGACACTGACATTTTTTAAGAGTACATGACCCGTCTGCTTGTTAATAGAGCTTTCCTGATTTGGAGTTTGTCTGACATTTCCTTACTACATTGTGGCCATACATTCTTGGCTGGACCTCCTCCCTATTCTTAAGTCTCATTCTCAAAAGCCCCTGTTCTCCTCCTCTGGCCTCTTATTCTTGTTTTTATCAGTTTGTTTGTTTGTTTGTTTGTTTGTTTTGAGGTATACTTTTTATTCAATAAAAGGTAAAGCTCTCAAGTGCACGATTGATAAGTTTTTACAATTGCATTCACCTATGTCATCACACTCTACAGTGGAAGTGACTTCTTATATTTGAAATAAACTGTTTTGTTTACAGTCTAGTTAGGGAGAGCAGTGATTCCACAGGCTACCTATCCTCCCCTGATTTTCAAGGTAAAAGAACTCTGTGATATCATGAGGTGTCATTCATTGAGAAGCAACCTTTCTCTGGGGCACTGGTTATAACTTACAAGTCTATCAGCACTGGCACTACCAATAGTGGTATGCATGATTCATATTGGGTCCACAGAGCAGAATGTCATCAAAGGTAGTTATTATAATTCTATGCATAGATATACCTGAGATAAAAATGCATCACACCACCACCATTTGTGAGGCCCAAAGTCAGACAAACCTAACATGATGATGCACTTATCACTTATACTGATTTTCAATTCAACGGCAAGAGTAGGAGCCATAGAAAACTATGACCAGTGTAAGATAGCCCTGCTGATAAACAGGGAATAAACAGAAGAGCCTTCTTCTGGAAAACAGCAGAAATCTCCACCAGTGGCCCATGTGGTGCTAAGTGCTCTCTGGCTTGTGGGGGTGGCAGAGCCAGGGGGATGCCAGGACACTTGGCAGACAGCCTCAGGAAAACACTGAATCAGAGTTCTTGGTACTCTGATACCATGGGACCAATTTTAGTTTGTGAAAACCCAATTTTGATGAC